GGGGGGAGTGGTGGAATTCTCTGTTTCTTCCTTATAGAGACCTAACTACTCTTTGAATTTCTAGTTGAAGGGTGAAATTTCTCTGGACTTCACTCTCCCTCTTCCCAAGTTAAAGCTGTGTTGTAAAACTTGAAGTAGTGAGTAGCTCTGTGGCTGTGTACTTGCTGGGAAGGATGAAAGGGGAAGGATTTGATCCAGAAATAGGGTTTTTTCACTAAAAGAAAAAGAAGGAAAGACACCCCACACCCATAAATCTGTCATATCCTTGGTGTATTTGCAGGTCTCTTCATGTCTCTTTAGGGAATTCCAAGAATGCAGGTTTGCTCTTCTTTTTCAGGTCAGGGGTGCAAGAAGCTAAGTGTGATATATGTGGTGCTCTGGTGCATCTTCAATAAACTGCAGACTTCAAAAATACCCAAAGTGGGGTTTTTTTTAAATTATTTTTATTTTTTTATTTTTTTAAGAATTAAGTAGAGCATGAGTAATTCGTTTCAACATCTTGCATTGATTGGTCCAGGTATTTAATATGTGTGTCTTTCAACTCACCTGGAATTAATTTTTTTACCTGTCAGGGCTAAAGCCCTAGTTAAAAGACAGAACCCAGAAAAGAGGATCTAACATGATTAAGATGAGTCTCTTTGGCAGCCAAATACTATTGACTATGGATTTTAAGTGCAGGAGCAGATCTGTGAATAACTATGATAATATCTGCCTCCGTGTGCCAAAATCGGAGACTAATCCTTATAAGTTCCTGGTGTGGTTAAGCAGGGAGTATTGCAGCTCTTTCACAAACGAGGAAATAGTAGAAAACTGGCAGGAATCCCCGCATTCAGGTCCTGCATTCAGGTTTCCAGCCATGCAGGTGGGTTTGGAAGCTGAGCATTTATGTAATAAATTGCTATTGCAGGAGATAGCCAAGCCCTGGGATGGCTCCGTGGATCCTGGTGTGTGTCAGCATCCAGGAGCTTTCTTTGCTGCAGTTAGTGGAGGATGCGGTGCAGTATCATGGGACATGCTGATGCATCTCTGCTTTACAGAGTAAAAACTGAATTAATTTCTTAAACTCCTCATTTGCCTCCTGATATTGACCTTTGCAAAACTTCAGCAGCACAATCCCTATGAACTCCTTCCCTGTCTCTAGCAGTCCCCTGTGTTGCTTCATTGGGAGTCTTGGTGGGCAGATGGGTGAGATGTTTTCTCCCTCACTAAGAAGTTTGTAGATAGGAAGAATGGAAACCAGAATTTCAAAAGACACCAGGAGAGAAAACACTTAAAAGCATCTTAACATAGCAGCAGCAAAATACTGTATCAAAGGAAAAGACTTGTGAATCAATCAAATTATTTGTTAAATATTCATCATTGTTACCTGGTGGGAGGAACTGCACAATCATGATTGCAAAGATTATTATGTCTTTGCTTTAATGGTGCTTCCTGCATTTGGTGGTTCATTGCTTTATATGGACGAAGTTTGGGAAGAAATTTAGAGGAGACTAGAAGGATAAGAGAAAGTTTGCATAAATTGAATAGCTGATGCTATTTGGCTTAGCCCAAAAATGACATTCTGAAGCTTTCTTAGGGTTTGAGAGTGCTGAACTCCTTTGCAGGTAAAGAAAGTTGCTTAGCTGTGCCTTGGTGGCAGCCAGCTTGTGACAAAAGTGTTTATCAGAAGGATCTGCATGGTAGATGTTTGAATAAAATAACACTACTTTTCTAAATTAAGAAATAGAACTCAACAATTTCTCTTAATCCCCGTGTCCTAAAATTGATTTGTCCATCTGTTATTTCAAATTAAAATATTTGTGTTTTGTCTTGTGTGGATTTTGTGTTTTGTTTTTTTTCTTAGATATTTTTGTTGTTAGGTTTCGGTCTGAATGTTTGTATAAACCCAATCTGGGGTTTTATTTCCTCTGTATGTATGAATTAAGTCGTAGAATCTGTCAGTGGTAGAGCATGAGCTAATGGTCTTAGCTCTGGGCCAAGAAGGTGTGATCTGTCAATCTTTGTGGAACACGCAAAAGTCCAGCTCCTTGAGCCTTCAGATCTGAACCTTTCTTCCTACTGTCATATGTGTTTCAGTGACTTTATTTCATGATCTACATTTGCATGTGTTTCCAATGTGTGCCTTTTTCCTTTAGGTGATGGTTTAGGACAGACCCACTTCTCACATGTCTTTTTTTTTTTTTTGATGCTTTCAGGAAGTGACACTGGGATTGGCCACGCGCTGGCTAAATACCTGGATAGCTTAGGTTTTGTTGTGTTTGCTGGGGTTTTGAACAAGGATGGATCTGGAGCTGAGGAACTGAGACGGACCTGTTCTCAGAGGCTCTCTCTGCTGCAGATGGATATAACCAATGCCACCCAAGTCAAGGAAGCCTATCTAAAAGTCTCAGAGAAGGTGCAAAATACAGGTACAGCTTTTTTTTCCATTATAATTGGAGAACTAATGTAGCTGTTTACAAGGTGCATCTCTTAACTGTTGGCTGCATTGTGACTTAGATGTGTAGGTCATTTCCATGCCACGTTCTGTGGGCAGTCAGAGTATTTGTATTGATGACTCCTGCTTTCTGGGACATGTGAAAAATGGTGATGGCTGATTATGGACTGGGTACTGTGTACCTGTAGCTGCAGATCATCTCTGCTTTGATCTGGAGGCACCATCCAGCTTATCAGTTTAATCTTTATGAAGTTGAATTCCTG